GTGAAACCTTTAGAACCTTCATGTACCGGTTTCTAACATTTTTATTTGGTAACTACTTGATGCAGCTTACCTTTATGTTTCTGGTCCTCCCTTGCCTTCTATTGGGATACCTTGGTCAGGCTGCGTTTCTAATGGAAAATCTAACTCAGAATGAGCAGGTTTTCTTTTCTTCAATTCCAAGTAAGTTGAGGCTTTCTACTTTTCATTTTAATTCATAACTGAGCTAATGTATGACTTTAAGCGTGACATGCCTTGTAGCTCGTGATGTTGGATCTATATGTCAATTCCATGACTGCAAATATTCACATGCTGACTCAAATCTGTAAAGCAGATATTGGGCCTAGATGAGTTTCTTTATTCGGACAGTTGAAAACAACAACATTCACGTCTTGGTATATCTCCATCAAAGCTTAAATCATTCATCAATGGCCTCCTTGCTGAACTGAGCGCTACCATAATCCGATATGTGATCTCTCCTTCTAAACCTGTAGGCTTCATCCTAGAAGGTGAACCTGGAACCTCTTCATTATTCCTTGCAAGTGGTCCGATCCCTTCCATTTGAAAAACATGTACTAATTTGACACATTTGTGTATAATTTCTGTGTAGAAATTGAAACAAGTGCTTTCTTGAGTACACATAAATTCTTTCTGAGATATCTGCAATTATATTTCCAAGACGTCCTTGACCAATCTGATTTGTGTTGACCTGTTTCAGAGTGGAGTTTGGATAAATGTTTTCACTATATATATATAATCACATTACACAAGAAACTTAATCCAGCTGAAAAGGCCTCTTGGTATTCTTGTTGACTTGAATCTGAAAATTCCTCCTCTTGGGTTCTTTAAGAGCTAGTTTTTCATTGTTTGTTCTTAATTTCTTCCATCAGAATTTCCATTGACAAGCAGATTAACGCCATTTGAATCTTTTCAATTTCAAGATTTCAAGTTGTGCAGTGAGGTTCCACATTGTTATCTATGAGAGCTCCCTGCCATTACACTAAAATCCCGAAGTTCTGGTGAGGGTTGAGGGACATAGTTTTATACTCTTACACATAATCAATCTTTAGCAGCCTTATCATCATACCCTAGAAACTTGTAGTATTGCACAACGAGCCAGATAAGTTATTCATTCATCATGGTCTTTCATCTTCTGGTGATAACCTCCTAAGTTGTCTGTTTATCCGGGTTCGGCGGAAGTATAATTCATGATTTCCCCTTAGACCTGATCAAGATGTAGGTAATGAGATTATGTAAACATCCTAGTTCACAATTTATTGAACCATTAAGGCACATTCCAGCTTCAATGTAAAAGACATTGTTTAAGTGTGAAATTGGTTTTTGTCTTCTGTGGCCGGTACTTTTGGTTTGTCATTTTCGGAAAAAGGGTCTATATTATGAATTTTTGTTGTCCTGCAGGTGGAGCTTACTGGCCAGTCTTCCTTGTAGCTTCAGTAGCTGCACTTATTGCTAGTAGGGCTATGACAACTGCAACATTCTCATGCATAAAGCAAGCAACAGTTCTTGGATGCTTTCCTCGACTCAAAATCATACATACATCTCGAAAATTCATGGGTCAGATTTACATTCCAGTCATTAACTGGTTCTTGTTGGTTTCCTCTGTGGCATTTGTAGCGAGCTTTGGAAGCATAAATGAGCTGGGCAATGCATATGGTAATCCCATTTCATTTTCATTTTCCTTATTTTTCTTGACCATTATTATGTTTGTACATTATACCCTATTAACTCCTTACTCCTTATATTGTTTCATGTTGGAACTCTTCTGCAGGAATTGCTGAACTTGGGGTTATGATGATGACAACAATCTTAGTCGCTGTCATTATGCTTCTGATATGGCAAATTAACATTGTCGTTGCATTTTCCTTTCTCATTATCTTTCTGGGAGTGGAACTACTTTTCTTCTCCTCAGTTTTGGGTAGCGTAGGCGATGGAAGCTGGGTTTTGTTGGTCTTTGCAGCAGTACTGTTTATGATAATGTACATTTGGAACTATGGCAGCAAGTTGAAGTACGAAACTGAAGTTAAACATAAGCTCTCAACGGACTTGCTTACGGAATTAGGTTCCAACCTTGGTACTATTAGAGCCCCTGGAATTGGCTTAGTTTACAACGAATTAGTTAAAGGAGTTCCTGCAATATTTGGTCATTTTCTGACCACTCTTCCAGCGGTCCACTCTATGATCGTATTTGTATGCATAAAGTATGTGCCAGTTCCTGTAGTGCCTCAAAATGAGAGGTTTCTTTTCAGGCGTGTTTGTGCAAAAAACTATCACATGTTCCGTTGCGTCGCTAGGTATGCAGAACTAACTCAAAACTTTAGAGGTCCACATGAGTATTTGATCTACAATAACTTTATGGAAACATTTAAAAACTGTGGTGCCTGTCACTAAAGGAAGATTCTAACAGTTGATTTTTGGCCATTATGGAAGACAGACATAACTGTACATGTAGTATGTGTGTGCAGATGGAATTAGTTTTCCTTGATTGTTTTAGCGATTGCAATACTCTGTAGTGTGATGATGGTATACACTGTACAGTTCACTTTTCTTGTTTAGAATTTGATTTGGTTGCTGAATTCTAGGTATGGATATAAGGATGTGCGCAAGGAAAACCATCAAACATTTGAACAGCTTCTCATTGAGAGTCTTGAGAAGTTCATTCGCCGAGAAGCTCAAGAGAGATCATTGGAGAGCGATGAGGATAGTGACACTGAAACCGAAGAAGAGAACCCGTCCTCACGAATAGTTATAGCACCCAATGGCAGTTCTTACTCACTCAGTGTTCCTCTCCTGGGTGACTTCAACTGTATTGAGAAGCCAATCTGTGAGCCAAGTTCTTCCTTCATTGATACCCAAGATGATGAACTAACAGAAGCAGGGCAGAGTTTTGAGAGGGAGCTCTCATTCGTTCACAAGGCAAAAGAATCAGGGGTTGTTTATCTCCTTGGTCATGGTGATATTAGGGCCAGGAAAGATTCCTGGTTTATAAAGAAGCTGGTTATAAATTACTTCTATGCATTCTTGAGAAAGAACTGTAGAAGAGGGATCGCAACACTGAGTGTTCCTCATACAAATTTAATGCAAGTGGGCATGACTTACATGGTTTGAAATTTGAGTTACTTGGTTTTTCTTACTTCTGCTGAGTCATACTAACAGGTTAAGATCCAAACGCACATGGTTTATAGTGCTTGTAACTGTGTTTGGGAACTAAGAAAACTGACCAGAATTGAGAAAAGACAGTGAGATGATTCGTTGTAACTGTGAAGGATCGAGAAGGCGAGAAATATCAATACAGTGTAATTTCCCCCCCGTTTTCCTGTACTTTTTTTCCTTCATTTCCAAGGAAAATACAAGCTTAGCTACTGTATTTGTTGTATTTACACGGAAAATGTAATAAAAGATAGAGAATATTTATTTTCGATTTTCTGCAAAGAGAAGTGCCTTGTTACGGATTCTCAGTTTCTCACTTTTGTAGCATCATTGTTCATTTTGGAAGCATGTACAAGATTTGAGGATCATTTGGATCTGTTAGTTGAAACTATTGAAGGAGTTGTAAAGATCACTTTGTAGTCATGAACTTTGTTGATTGACCTTTCATTGTATTTGCTTTGACAGATATACTCTCTTTTCCACTTTCTTATCCAGTGTTGAACGTGCTTAACATGCTGAGAGGCGCTTATTATCTTATTTATTGTATTACTGGATGAATGGAGCTGTATATTGGGCGGTAATTGTTGTCAAGCAAAAAAAAAAAGCTGTAGTCATCATTGCTGATCAAATCATTGCTGGTGACCAATTTGGATGATCCGCTTTGAGAAGCCCAGCGATGCCAGCGATGTGAGGACAGGACGTTGAAGTACTTGTCATTATATTGAAACCTGCACGTCTCAAATTTTTAGAGCTTCTAGTTACCGGAGTTTTCAGTAGGCCAAGAAGCAAGAATGTTCATTCCTGGAGCGAGACTATCAGGCTCTAGAATCTCTGGCAGGATCCTGTTGGGACCTCTTGACAAAAAATATGTGACTTTTTGGAGCTCGGGTTTCTCCAATAACAGTTTGATAATTGAATTGAAGCAGAGCTCTTGGATTCACGGTTGAGTTTATGTATTTGATCAGCTTCTTCGCTTCAACATAGCCTAATGTCAAACCTGGCGATATGAACTCTCCAACAATGATTCCTTCACCGCTATAATTGGCGTTGAGTCTGATCAGACTGAAACCTCCAGGTTCAGCCACTTCACAACATTTTCGACACTCCCTTCATGGGGTCCGCTATTGCTTGCAAAAACGTGACAAATACACCGTTTCGAACAGCTAAGAATGCGGCGATAGCCCAAGGATTGGTGTCGAATTCTTCATGTTCTCCGCCGAGAGATAGCGAGAGGCTACGAACTCCGTCTTCGACTGCAAACTCCATGGCAGCTGCAATATCACTTGAAAAGCATCCGTATTCAGGAAAAGCTTTGTACAAAGAGAACCTTGCCCCTGTCGCCATTCCTCATGCAGTTCCAATAGCGAACCCGAACAGGTTCGTATTGGCAACTGCAGAGCCTGCAGCGGTTGATGCAGTATGCGTGCCGTGGCCTATTGCATCTCTAGGTGACAAGGAAGCTCTTACTTCGTCAAAAGTAACGCCTCAAGCCTTGGCTCCAGCGGCAAAAAACCTCGCTCCGATCAATTTCTTATCGCACATACTACTATCAAAATGCTCGCCAACTTCGCATTCCCCTCGCCATTCGGCTGGAACTGGAGGAAGCCCAGTAACGTCGAATGAAGGGTTTTCGCACGAGCCCAATGACGACATTGTCGCCATTGTCAAACTTATCCGTCCATAGACCGTCACCTAGATCGAGACCGAGGAAGTTCGGGGATCTTGTCGTGCAGAGATCAACGATAGAGTCGTTATAGACGCCAACGACTCTGGGTGTCGAAGAGACTTTTCGGGCTTTCTTCTGGGGTCAATGTGGCCGCGAAGCCCATGCATAGTTGCGCCGTAGGTGTAAAAGATGTGATCTTGGTTGTCGGCGGTTCGGTTGGTGGTGAAGGCGGATTTGAGGATGGAAGAGCACCAGTGAGATCGAGTAGGGAACCTTTGAGGGTCTTGCGAGGTTGTCGGCGTGGATGATGTAGGAGTTTGCAATTGGAGTGTTGATTGCGGGCTTTTTGAGCTTCTTGGATTGGTAACAGGCTGATGATGCCTTAGGAATAAAGGGTTAGGAGAAGAAATGTTAAGGAGAGGAGGGAGGTGAGGTTGAGGGAGGCCCTCGTTGTGTGTTTGGGTGTGCATGAATTTGAAATGAGGCTATTGGAGGGAAGAAGCATACAGATCAAGAGGGAAGTAGCATACAGAGAGGCCAGCTCAATACATGCCATGGTGTTGTGAACCTACAGTTTAAGCATGAAGCTTCTCTTATGTAAGATACATGACTAACATGTAATGCTTTCTTCTTTTTTCTCTATTTGAACTAGTTACTTGATTTGTGAAGATATATAGCTGAAGTTTCTCTTGTATAGGAGATGCCAGTTTCTATATCACAAATTTAGATTTGGGGAAATTGCTTCTAGCATCTAATTTCCTTGCAAGTATTCCACCCCCAAAGACTTTTTCAACGCTCCCAAAACCCTCAAAAGCAAAACCATAATTTCCTGAGCCCCAAAAATACAAAACCCACGAGTTTAAAACATGTGAAGACCATAATACTCTCTCTCTCTCTCTCTCTCTCTCTCTCTCTCTCTCTCTCTTCATAATGTTACTGTGATGATTTGAAATGGGTTTTGGGGGGGAAAATTCTAGTTCCCTCCAAAAATTTTTAACCGACACGTTGACATTGGCAGTGAAACTTTCCTGGCGTTCGTTCGTGAGGCGAAGAAAACTGTGATCTTGAAGACAGTGATGACGAGTTGCGTCGCCATTTCGAAGAAAAAGACGGGAACTCTGGCGACCCAGTGTAATTTTTTTTCCTTTTTAATTATACTTGAATCTGAGTGCTATATTTTTTTTGTTATTTTACATATTGTTATAATTTTTTTTTAAATCGATGACTTGAGATTAAAGTAGAGTATGTAAATTTATATATTGTTATTATTTCAATATAATAAGTTTGTTGTTAAGCTTATGAGTTGGTGGTGAAGGAACCTCGGTAAGGAGTTGGTTGTGAAGGTTGTGAATGTTATGAGTTTGTTGTGAAGGTAACAAGTTGGTTGTGAATGTTACGAGTTTGTTGTGAATGTTACTACTTGTTTATGAAGGTTACGAGTTGGTTGTGAACTTCGGTAAGGAGTTGGTTATGACGGTTACGAGTTGGTTGTGAAGGTTAGTTAACAACAATCACAATCAACTCATTGCCGAGGTTCATAACCAACTCGTAACCTTCACAACAAACCCATAACCTTCACAACCAATGCATAACCTTCACAACCAATTCATATCCTTCACAACCAACTCATAACCTTGACAACCAACGCATAACTTTGACAACCAACTCGTACCCTTGACAAGCATAAACTTCACAACCAATGCATAACCTTTACAACCAACTCGTAACCTTGACAACCAACGCGTAATTTTAACAACCAACTCCTAACTTTGATAACCAACTTGTACCATTGACAACTAACTCGTAACCTTCCTTCACCACCAACTCATAAGCTTAACAACAAACTCAATACGGTGAAATAACAACAATATATAAATTTATATATTCTACTTTAATCTCAAGTCATTGATTTCAAAAAAAAAAATACAACAATACGTAAAATAACAAAAAATATAGCACTAAGATTCATGTACAAGTTAAAAAAGGGAAAAAATTACACCGGGAGTCACCGGAGTTCCCACCTTTTCTTCGCCTCATGAACAAACGCCGGAAAAGTTTTACCGCCAATGTCGATGCCGTTGGACAAATTTAGAGGGGACTAGAAATTCCCCCTCAAAACCTATTTTAAATCATCACAATAACATCATGAGAGAGAGAGAGAGAGAGAGAGAGAGAGAGAGAGAGAGAGAGAGAGAGAGAGAGTATTAGAGAGAGAGAGAGAGAGAGAGAGAGAGAGAGAGAGAGAGAGTATTATGGTCTTCACATGTTTTAAACTTTTGGGTTTTGTGTTTTGGGGGCTTAGAGAATTATGGCTTTGCTTTTGGGGGTTTTGGGAGCGTTGAAAAAATCTTTTGGGGATTGGGTTGGTGGGTGGGGGGAATACTTGTAAGGAAATTGGGGGCTAGAAGTAATTTTACCTTTAGATTAACTACCAAACTTAACAGAGAATTTTCGTGCATCAAATGGAAAAAGTGATTATATACAACATGAGAAGCCTTTAGTTGTATCTCTCTGTGTTTATTTGTGAAAACTGTCATATAGTAGCTACAATTGCTGCTAAATAACAAATTTCAGCTTCATTGTCCAGTGTGACACTGAAGATTGGAACCATCTACAGTTTTATGTTCAATTTCACGAAGATCTGAGTTGTTTTTTGGGGCATTTATAGTTTAAAATGTGGGATGCATGCATTTGAAATCAAGGAATTGTAGGAAAGTAGCAGATAAGAGGGCAGCTCAATTTGGTCAAGTATGAACAAACCACAAGGGCGCTTTCTAGTTCAGAGTTAACTTCTATGTTTTGGTTTTCGAAGATTATTTATCTATTTGGTTGTGTTGATTAGTTCCAAGCACTGCTATTATCTCCCAGGGTCGCACTTCATCTCATTTTTTATTCAAAACAAATCATAATACTGAGGGATAAGTTGATACAATGGCAATGGAAACTGATCATTATACACCCAGAAAATATAATCAAGAACATAATACAAGGAATTGCGAGTAAATGCAAAGTCATACATAAAAATGTCTGGATAGAATGCACTTC